TAATGGATACTAGAGTACTGTGTCGGGGTGTTGTTGAGTGTCTAGTTCCATTTTTCTCCCTTAAGAAGGTATTAAAGTATGTTTATGAATCAGTTTGATTCTTTCAATGCTTATTTCTAACTTTTGTTGGGTGGGGATCTAGAAGAGCCTGATTGCAGGCGCCTACTGCTGGGCCCCGCCAACCCTCCTCTTGTGTCCTGAGAACTTCAGGTGGATCCAGTGATGGCTTCCCCTCCCGCCAGGTGGAACTACAGGCCGCCCCGGGCTCTGCCTGGCCTCGGTGCTCCTACAGTCTGCAGCTCCCCTGTGGTTGTCTCCAGGGGGCCCTGCAGAGTTGCCCCTCAGCAGTCTAGTGCCCGCAGCTCCCAGGCGCCTGGTTTCTTGGTGGTCTCCTGTGGATTCCCACTGCCTTGCCTCCTGGAGCCCTGGCCCGTCCTTCCACTTAGCAGGAGGTGCATCCAGCTTGGGGCTCCTTCCTCTCCCAGCATTTGGGTCAAAATGAAAGGACCTCCAGGCAGCAAGCTAGAGACACCCGGGCTCCTCCCCTTGGTTCCTTTCTGCAGAGGCTCCTGGCTGCCCTGTCGGCCAGGATCTAGAAGGGCAAGTTGGCCAACAGGGACTCCATCGTAGCTTTCTGTGACTTGATCTTGATCACTTTACTTTTTTTTAATTTGGAGGCGGGGGTCTCACTGTGTTGGTCTCAAACTCCTGGACGCAGCACTCGGCCCTCCTCCTGCCTCAGCCTTCTCTCCACCACTCCTAGCTTCCTTCGGTTGGTTGTTTTAACTATTGGATTTTGAAGTATGAGTTATTCATTTAGTGTACTCCTTTTTCTTTATTCCATTTGATGTGTACGGTAGCCTCTTCAGTTCCACCTATCACTATTTTTATTCTCTAGAAGGCCCTCAGTTGATTGGTTATGTAGGAAAAAGGTGTTGAAGTTCAGGGCACAAGTTCACTTTTGCTGCCTCCATGTGTGGCGGTTGGGCGCAGTGCAGGACGTGTCTTTCCCCAGCACACAGACAGGCCCTCCGGGAAATGGTGTGCTGTTTGAGAAATTCAGGGAAACTTCAGTCCAGGTGAGGAGTTGAAAGCACTGCGCACACAGAAACAGAAAGCATTTCTTTGGAATCTTGTGAGGACTGTTTTTCTTATCCTTATGAGATAAGGTACTTTTTACCTAAGCAGAGTTGTTGGGGTAATCAGTAAAAGGCAGTCAGTGCAGGAAGGGGCTCGCTGGTGCCTGCCCGTGAGCATTAGCAGAGGACTAAAGGGACAATGGCTAAAATAGGAATTCACTTTATGGCATGATGTAATTTGAAGAAAGTTTTCAACCTCTTGGGGAAAATAATATTTTAAGGTATTTGTATCATTTCAGAAATTAAGCTGAGTTTGAATTTAAAAACTGATAATGTTTAAAATCTTTAACATACAGTCCCTGCCATTGATTATTGATTTGTGGTCTAAAGATGCTAAAAATAAAGTATTATCTCTCTATTTCTCAAGTCATAGTTTGTTTCAAGTGCCCATTTTTAAGTGAAGAGGGTACATTTGGGCAAAATGAATTTGTAATTTCTTTAAACACATCCCCAGGGGCTTGGTGACTTGTGTGTTTACAGCCAGGTTGTGACCTTGTGCACTGTGTCGTTGGAGCATGGTGTGAGTTATTGATCCTGCTTCCTTACTGAAGGCTCTTTATGCTTTTGGCTAACTCTTCTGGTTTGTATTATGCTGCTCATGGGACTACCCTCCAATTGTATGCATATAAATGTGTACACATGCACAGAGTTTACAGGGATACTATTGTTTTTTTGTTTTTTTGTCAGTTTACATAAAAATTGCTCTCCTTATTATGTTTTCATTATTAAAATATTTTTTCAAATGATTGGGGTCAAGTGGTTCCCTGAGGACTCTGATCAGCCTTGCCCTGTCATCCGTGTCTACATGGACACATACTCTGTGTGCACAGAGACTCCCAGTGCACTGTGCACTGTCAGCATAAAATATATATTTTCTCTTTCCATTCAAAGGTTTCTTGTAGAACTTTAACTTCTGTTTTCTGCTTATGAGATGTGGTTTCCTACTTTAAAACTGTTTTGACTTCTTCCCCTTGTCTCCACAAGTTTTATGTTGTTGTTGGTGGTGGTGATTTTGATTGTGTTCTGTTAATTTTTTTCCCCCTGGAAGAGCTCTCTGAAATGTGAATGGTAGGATCATACTGCTTTACCTCAGTCTTAAAAACAGACATAATTGGATGTGATTATGTGTACCTACAACCCCATCTACTGGGGATAGGGGGCACGCTGAGGCAGGAGGATTGCAAGGTCCAGACCAGCCTGTGCAACTTGGTGAGATTCTGTCTCAAAAAAAGGGGAGGGAGTCTGGAGACACGGCTCCATGGTAGAGAACTTACCTTGCATGCGCAAAGCCCTGGGTTCCACCCCCAGTACTGTGGGGGGGGGGCAGGGGGGAATACCCCACCACACATACATAAATATACAGATATACATAATGCACACAAAAAAATATTTATTTTGGCTCTTGTCAGAATGATGAAGAAATACAAAGAAGCCTGCATTAGTTCATGCCAGAATGCATGAGACATGCTGGTTTCCCCTTTGGCTGAAGAGGGCCAGCACTCCCCAGGACTGTCACTTCCCTACTGTGGTTTGGATCTGGGGGGGGCTCCTACCCTCAGCTCCAGTGAGTTAGGAGTTTGGCCCTCCCCACCCCTGGGCCATATGTAGGGCCTCCCTGCAGGCCACACAGCATGCCTATGCTAGTGGGGTGAAAGGGTCTGGTTCCTATGTGATTCCAAGAGATAGTAGACTCCAGAAACAACTTTTGTGAGAGTCAGTAGCCAGGGGCTCTACTTTCCCTTGAACTGGGGGAGGGGAGATAGTTGCAGAATCTTTGGTGGTCTGGGAAGAGGAAATACATATGCCAATTTTTAGCATAGGCAAAATGTGCATATAACATTCAGAAAAATCAAAGCATGAACGAATGCAAGCTTCTTTGTATTTCTTCATCATTCTGACAAGAGCAGGCTAGTGCTTACAGCCCTCTATGGCGGTCACTGTTCTCTTATTTTTATTACTTGATTTTTTGTTTGTGTCACGAGGCATGGGCTGTTATCCTTATCTTATTCTTAAGGAATTTGAAACCAGAGGTTAAGGGATTAAGCCACAGTTTTCAAGTCTGGCGAAATGGTGGAATGGGGATTTGGACTCCTGTGTCTGGCTCCAAAGCTGGCTGGCAATTGCTAGGGTGATAATAATCATCACACACACACACACACACACACACACACACACACACACACACACACACACACACACCCCACCCACCCTTGGGAAGAATGAACCATTGCGTCAGTGCCTTGTGCTGGTGGGGGATCAGGACTGTGACTGGAAGTGAGGCTTTACTAGTTGTCCCGGGTCTGGGATTGGGAGGTCTTTGCTTTTCAACTTAATGGTTTTTTTCCTCCAGTAAACATGTAGTTTTACAGTCAGGAGAAATAAAACCATTTTAATTTGGGGCTGAGGGTGAGTGTGGGGAACTTCATTGAGTGGACCACGCCTTCCAGTCCTGATGCATCAGGGGATCTGAAGGATTGCTGTAGTCTGGCGCAGTAGTGCCATGACTCGAGACTCGATCCTTCCCCAGTTCAGCCAGTCTTCTGAGTGGGCATACCCTGGGGTTGAGCTACACTCACCTATTCTTTTGTAATCCTACCTCTTCGCACTGTTTGGGATAGAATGTCCATGGAAACTCCCTTTGTGTGTTCCCTTCTCTTGCTCTGCCTTTGGGTGTGGCCTTAGATGTCAGTCAGTCATCTGACAGCAGACATCATGAAACTAGACTCAACACCCCCTCAAACCTGACCCCTCACCTCATTTGAATAGCTTCTCCCCAGTAAAAGGGTTCAGCACGTGCTCTCTCTCTTTCTGTGGACCCCTAAGGTCAGAGGAGCTGTCATAGGACCCAAAGAAAAAGGTATCTCTGTTTCTTGTGTGATTTTTTTCATGCAGCCCAGTTCACCTGGAGTACCCCTGAGTGTGTCAGTCGTGGAACATGACAGGTGAGGTTATTTTCTAGCCACAGCCAAATTTCGCTGTACTTTGCCTGGAGGTTGGGGAATGAATTAGTGACCTTGCAGCTCAGCAGCAGTAGATGTGCTGATAAGAGCGACCTAGGACTGAGTCAGAAATGATGTATGCAAGACTTTCATGCACTGTGTTCTCCCTGGCTGTCTGATATATTTTTGAATAATTGTGTGCACGTGTATGCATGCAAATATACCAGATAATCACATTTTTAAGGAAACTTTCAAAACTCATGGCACTCAAACTCTTCGTCAAGGAAAGGAACAATTTTAAACTTTTCCTTTTATTGCCTTGTTATAAAACCATACTGTGTTTACATATAGCACATTTACGTGCAGAGAAATCAACAGTACTCAGAACAGGAGCTCGGAAATATGGTTAACGCTTCTGCAGCCTTCAGTACAGATTCTGTTGGGCCTCTCACCAGCTCCAGAGTTGGCCCTGGGAGGGTTTTGTGCCTCGTGACAGGCAGGGAAGGTCCTCTCGGGTCTCAGTGTTTCCAGCAGGAGTCTGCACATCCTAGATAGTGGTGCAAGGCAGTCCTTCAAATTTTTAATTTTTTTGAGTACGTGGTTTCTTAAGCTCATTTCTATTTTGTCTTTTATTGTTACTATAAGTGGTGCCCCCCCCATTTTAATTTCAATTCGGACTGTTGGTACATGCATACAGTTACACTGACAACAGAAATATACCAAGAAATCCCACTGTCATCCTTCTTATCCACTCATTTTTCTCTGCTCTCTTTCTAGGTAACCAATTTAAAATTAAATACTTGTTTTATTTATTGAGTATTTCTTTAAGGAAATACTGGAAAATGTAAAACATGTGAAAAAGTGGCATACTCTATGTCCTGTTCTACACCTTGCTTTTCTCACTTGCTGTATATTCCTTCCAGGTTTCCACAGAGGTTTTTTTCATTCTCGTACTGCTCCGGTGTATTCCATGGTGGTGCAGCTCCCTGTTGGTAGATGCTGGGTGGCCTCCAGTCTTCTGATACTGCACGTGGCTGCAGTAAATGTCCACGTGCACTGGTGCGTTTAGAGAATGAATTCCCTGGGTGAAATTTGTGGGTCAAAGTGTGTGTTCGCTTTCTGGCACGATAATACCTACCTGAGATAATCAACTTAGAAAAGGTTGGCTTTATCTGGGGTCACAGTTTTGGCAGTTCCAGTACTCGGTTGGAGGACCCTGTTGCTGTTAGGCCTGTGGCATGACAGCCCATAGCAGCAGGAGGGTGTGGTGAAGCAAAGGGAAAGGGAGGAGGAGAGGCGGGATCCCCCAGGGCCTTCCAGGGCACAGCCTCCCCTCAGGTTCTCCCTGCAGGCTGCACCACCTCCCTCTGGCACCTCAGCTGGTGGCCGGGCCTCCAGCACAAGGCCTGTGGGGGACGTTGAAGATCCATGGGCCCGAAGTGAAATTGTATAATTAAAGCTGTGTTGGGGTAGCATTCCTCACCCATCAGATCAGCAGAATTATAGAAGCAGGGTGAAGGTTAATTTGTTCTTCCCCATGGGTGAGATGAGTACTTTAAGGGCTGGGGTTGTGGCTCAGCCGTAGAGCGCGCGCCTAGCACATGTAAGGCCCTAGGTCCCATCCTCAGCACCACATAAAAATAAATAAAATAAAGGTATTGTGTCCAACTGTTACCGCTGTGTACCCGGTGACGAGTCCTTGCTTCCCGATGCCGAAGTATAACACCAGAGAAGCACGCCGAGGCAAGCATAGAGTGCAAAGTAGAAGCTTTATTAAAGACAGCAGAAAAGACTTCTCCGGAGGAAGAAGGGGACCCAAGAGGTGGAATCCGTGGAAGGGGGAGGTCTTCCCTCTTTTATAGCTAAGGTCTTCATTCTACTTTCCCGCATTTCTGTCAGAGTTCCTGTCCTTGTCCTACCTTACAGTGTAGGTGGGGAAAGCCCAAAGGGTGGGGGACAGGTAGGCAGTAATCTGAGCAGGAAGGACTTTTGGATTAGCATCTTCATGTTTGCTGGGAGCTGCTTTAATTAACATTTCCTTGGGATGGGCTCTGGGCCTTGGGGACATTTTCAATTCCCCTTTCCCTGGACTCCATTCTCAATATGGCCTTCATTCTTGATTTTACTCGATATTAGACCCAATTTACCTAACTACACTAAGTACCTATTTTTAAATCAGGCTTCACAACTACCACTAAAAAATTTTAAAAGAGTCATCTGTAGTTTAATATGACTGTTCTTCTACCCATTTTTCGGTTTTCAGTCTTCTTGATTTCTAGAGGTTCTTATGTAGTAGAAGGATTAATTAACCCTTTGGAAATGAGTTGCAGATATGCTTTATAACTTACATTTTATATTAAGGCTGGTGATTTTTGTAGTCACTTGGAGCCTGGCAGGAAGAAGAAAGTGAGGGGAGGCAGGCAGAATCAGAGATGTGGACACTTAGGGAAGGAGGAGTGCAGGTTGCATGCTCCTGACCCGTAGAAGAGGAGCTGTTTCCTCGTGAGGGGGTGCACCTGTGGTTAAGGGAGCACAGGGAAGACTGGTGTCTACTCGTGATTCACCTTGTCTGTAACTTTTTGCAATTTTTATTGAGATTAATTGTGGTTGGCAGTGTCTGCTAGATATATTGTGGGAGATTATCTACTGACCAGGAGTTCTGTGGAAACATTTCTTAAAGTGTGTAGCTGACGTTGGAAAAGGCAGTGTAGGAAAATGGACCACACAAGAAGAGACAGATGGGCATATGAGGTTGAGGGCAGCATCTGGATTGGTTTGGATACAGCAGTAGTGAACTAGAGGAGAGAAGTGAGAAAACAGGGGGAAGCCAAAAATAAGGAGAAGCAAAAGAGGGGAGGTAGGTGACAGAGAGGCAGTGAGGTTTTCAGTGCTACAGCTCCCGGTTTTACTGAGCCTTACCTTCTCCAGGCTGAGTGCTCTGTTATTGTTTTCTTGTGACATGTTATGCCTGTTCCATGTTAGGCTTATTAAATCCTTTTGTTCTCCAAAATTATTTTCACTTCTGATTTTAAAGAACGCTCGTCAGTTGTTTTAATAATTTTTAATTCAATGTTTTAAATAAAGCTAACTGGTTATATTTTTCCACATGTGTCTTATAATCCTTTATGATGCTGTAACAGAACACCAGAGATTAGGAAATTTATAGAGCAGAAAAATATTTTCTCACTATTTTGGAGGCCAGGCAGTCCAAGATCAAGGCTGGGAAGCTAGGGCCTGGTCTGTCTGCTTCCAAGATGGTGCCTTGAACACTCTGTCCTGTGGAGGGAGCGTGTTTGTCTTTACATAGCAGGACAGCAGGAGAGGGTGAACTTGCTCCCACGGGCCCTTTATGGTGGCATTAGGCCCCACCTCCCAGCTGACATTTAGGATTAAATTTCAACCTGAATTTTAGAAAAGACAAACATTCAAACCTAGGGGTGAGTAAGTGTGCGGTGATGTCTGAATGTGGCGGGGGGTGTCCATGTCTTCATTTTTTACTTATTTCACATTTGGTTTCACCAAACTATAAATTCCTAAACACAGGGCTTAGGAATTCTGTATTTGGGGACTGGTTGGACTAGCTGGACTTTTTAAATTTTAAGCAGGATTCTTAAGGAACAGTGACACAACAGCAGGTTCTTCTGCCACCCTGGAGCTTGGCGCAGTTAGCATACTGGGCTCCTCTCCAGGGGAAGCTCACTTCCTTCCGCGGAGCGCCCTGTGCATTTATCTCCTAGCTGCCCTCGCTGCACGGAGGACTGAGGTTGATGTGACATGTTTTTAAAAAATATCCCACAACATGACAAACAGAATTCTATCTACTTTGCAGCTGTGTGAGAAAAATACCTCCACGTGGTTTCTTTGTCCTTTGTCCTGACCCGAGTTGACTGCAGAGCTGGCAGGGTTTGCTCCCTTGCCTCTGCCCCTCAGCCCCTTCCTGGCCTGTCAGGGACAGAGAAAAAAGAACTGATGGCATTTCTTAACCGACAGACTCCACTACCATTTGTTTTGCTCCAACATTTTATAAGGAAAATTTTCAAATGTGTAGAAAAGTTGGAATACTTTTCCACGAAATACTATAAATCCACTCTCTAGATTCTGGACATTTTGCATTTATGATGCCTGCTTTATCACATGTCCACCCATCAGTTTATCTTGTTATTTTTTTCTTTATTTCAAAGGAGGGATTTTTTTTCCTCCAATCTTTGTCACTGGTGGCAAGTCCTTCATCCCCATTAAAAGAAATTCAAGCACAGTCAGGCACTTATGGAGAGGGCTGAGGTGAGCAGAAGGGCTGGCCTGTTCCTGCCCGGTGGTGGGTGTCGAGCAAGTGAGCCCCGTCCTGTTGGGTAACTGAATTTGCCCGTAGGAGCCAGTTGCTTTTAAGGCAGCCCTGTGTTTCCAGGGACATGCCGTCCCCAGTTGATGAGATGCCTCGTGGAAGAGAGTCCATGGGGTATAGTCATTAAGATGGGGAGTGGGCCAGGTCTGCCTTATAGACACTGTAAGGCTGTCTAGAGGACACTCTGTGCACACTCATGTGCACTTTTTATCACGGGGGTTTTCTGTCATGATGCCGTGCCTGGCAGTGTCCCCGCAAGCATGCACTTCTGGCCCGCCGTCCCCAGGCTCCTCCGGAGGAAGAGCCTGAAGAACAGGCCCTCCTCTCCTCAGCCACAGCAGCTTCCTCTTGGTCTGTTGTATTTGAAATGGAGAGTTCATTTCGGGGAGAAGTTGTCGAACTGCAGCTTTCTTTGCCCGACCCACTCGGCCCTGTAGGGCACGGTGCGGTGGCGAGTGGTGTAGCAGAGTGTCTGTTACACGAAGCTTATGGGTCTGAGTTAGGGGGCCACAAGATGCTGCATTGTCGGGTTTATCCCAGTGGCTGGCTCCAGATGTGGCTGGTGAGAGTTTTAACAGTAAAGGATTCTTCTAAAGATGGAGGAGTCTGACATCCCTTGCCTCGGTTCCTGAGAGCGAGCTGTCCCAGAATCAGCAGCATCTGTATTTCAGCTTCATGCATGGTTTTGAATTTTAATGAAACAGGTGTATTTAGAGTTCTTTTTGTAGGGTTGATCTCTAATGCAGTGTGGGCAGCTGCTGAAAACTGTCCCCCTTCCAGAACATGAGGGACTGTCTCACCATTGGTGTTACCTGTCCCCAGTACAGCTGACAAACCATTCTGGTAATGGGTCTTCCCTTTTTACAGTCGGCCCCGGCCCCCTTTCTGTTCATACCAGTCTGTTTACAAAGTGGACAGTAAAGGTGGTTTGGGTTTTACTGTTGGGTCTACATTCACCTGAAATTTTTCCTTCTCTTCTGTACCCTCAATAGGCCCGGGTTATGTATGATTTTGCTGCTGAACCTGGGAATAATGAACTGACGGTTAATGAAGGAGAAATCATCACTATTACAAATCCGGTAAGGGAACATTTGGTTATTCCTTGTTTTTCTTTTTTTGTATAGGACATTGAGCCCAAGGATGCTCTACCTTAAGTTGCTGAAACTGGCCTTGAACTTGTGATCATCCTCCCTCAGCCTCCCAAGTCCCTGGGAGGCTTGCACTGCCAGGCTCATTTTTTGGACTTGTTTTTAAGGTTTATTTATTTATTTATTTATTTATTGGTTGTTCAAAACATTACAAAGCTCTTGACATATCATATTTCATACATTAGATTCAAGTGGGTTATGAACTCCCATTTTTACCCCAAATACAGATTGCAGAATCACATCGGTTACACATCCACATTTTTACATAATGCCATATTAGTAACTGTTGTATTCTGCTACCTTTCCTATCCTCTACTATCCCCCCTCCCCTCCCCTCCCATCTTCTCTCTCTACCCCATCTACTGTAATTCATTTCTCTCCTTTTTTTTTCCCATTCCCCTCACAACCTCTTATATGTAATTTTGTATAACAATGAGGGTCTCCTTCCATTTCCATGCAGTTTCCCTTTTCTCTCCCTTTCCCTCCCACCTCATGTCTCTGTTTAATGTTAGTCTTTTCCTTCTGCTCTTCCTCCCTGCTCTGTTTTTAGTTGCTCTCATTATATCAAAGAAGATATTTGGCATTTGTTTTTTAGGGATTGGCTAGCTTCACTAAGCATAATTTTTTTTGCTAAGTTGATTATTCATACTCACATTAATTCTTTTCTGTCGCTTAAATTTTTTTCTGTTGATGATGTAGTAAGAGGCTATTACATAAACACTGAGAAAAGTTTCCTAGAGATAGCTGGGGAGATGATTGAGTTTATTATCTCTCTATTTCATAATTGTTTTCTTTGTTATTGATAACCTTTCAAGCACCCTCTGTTGTTGTGGAGCTTAGTTCAGTCTGCTTTCCCCAAATGGTGCTGTGTCTTTAGAATGCAGGAGAGATGTGCTGACCTTCCTCACAGCTCTGCTTACTGAGCGCTGTTGTTCTGAGCTCCAACCCTAAAGTAGATTGCCAGAGGGCAGTATGTGCTAGCAAAGCATCAGCCTTGCTCCCAGCGAGTTCTCTCTGCTGAGTTATAAGTTACTGCTTCAGCTTTTATTCAGTGAAGAAATGGCTATATGTATAACAGGGATTTCTGCATCTTCACAGAACTGTTTGCACATGTGTACATAGATACATATGCATGCATCTTCACATGCTCGGGTATGTACCCACACACATTAACACGTGTCCTCACGCATGTTTGTATCTTTTCTCACTTAGCTAGGTGTATTTCCACCCTCTCTGATAAGCAGTCATGTGATCTTTTATCTCAGGTTCTTCCTCAGCTTCAGCATACTTCCTTTCACAAAATGAAATCTTTATTGGCAATTGAATTTCTTTTATGATTTTTGTTGCTGAGTAGTGCAGAGGCAAAAATAATACTCATTTTTTCAATCATCTTGGGTCCAGATCCTGTTAAAGTGTTTTCTACTACCTCTGTGTGATATGTGCCTCAGTCTGCTTAATTTTTAATTTTATTTTATTCTGATTTTTTTTTCAGTACTAGGGATTGAACCCAGGGGTGCCCTACCACTGAGATATAGTACCCCAGCCCCCCCCTTTTTTTTTTTGAGGCAGGGTCTTACTAAGTTTTCCAGGCTGATCTTGAACTTATAATCCTCCTGCCTCAGCCTTCTGATTAATTGTCCTTTTTACATGTAAACCTTCTTACAGAGTATAGTAAAATTATGAGATGAACATAATTGAACATAATTTTTGTAGGATTAATCTCTAATGCAGTGTGGGCAGCTGCTGAAAACTGTCCATGTAGTAAAATTTTAAGAAAAATTGCCTCAATTACTAGTATTTCATCTGGGTATATGCAGCTAGAGGAGGACCAAAAGCAGGCCTGGGGAGTCAGTCTTTACAGTTGTAAAATCAGCAAAACTTTGTGGTTACTCTTTCTTTACCTCTTCCTACTTATCCCCAACACCACTGAGAGTGCCTAACTCTGACACCGCTCTGTGCACACCTCTGGCCTGTGCTTCTGGCAGGTGTCCTCCCTAGTCCCTGCCACTGTCTCTGGGTTCCACGCTGTATGTCCTGCTTCTCTGACCATGCCCTTGCTCGGTTACCAACACGGAGTACAGGGTAGTCTTGTATTCCTGTAGGTGTCTCCAGACACAAAAATTGGAAGCCTTACCCTTGCTCAGAGAGGTCTGCATTGGTTTTCCTTACTGATCGCCTCTAGCACAGGCTGCTGATCCTATCTGATGCCCTGTGCCTCTCTCCTCTTGTGTACTTAGATACACATGCATGCATCTTCACATGCTTTTATAATCCGCTCTTCCTTCTGCCTCGTGATGTAGGTATTCACATCTTTGGCCAGTTTTCCTCATGTTACACATTTTCAGAATTGTTTATTGCCTCCTGTGTGCTAAATTCCTGGTATCTACAGCTTGGCCAGGCTGCTGAAGCTCCCACTTGGCTGTCCAGCGGAGTCCTAGGCGTCTTTATGTCGCTTTTTCACAAGCCCTTCAAATATCCTGTGGTGTGGGACCTACAGGCTCACCACACATGCTGAGCTAGTCCTCTTCCTGAAGTCTCTTTTTTTCTAATGTGGAACACACCCATTCATTCTCCTCAGCTACAGCTGTACATCACAGAAAGACGCTGGCCTTACACTTGCTCACATCTAGCCTTTCCCCTCTCTGTCTCTACTGTCACTGCCTTGAGCAAAGCCCTCCCCTTGGTACCTGGATTGGGTGCCTTCCTGGCTGGCCCTTCTCCCCCTGTGGCCTGTTCAAACTGCCAGCTGTAGGTCTACAAGACACCCGCCATCTGACCCCGTCCTTTCTCTCCAGCTTTCCAACATATGCACACCCTCTCTTACGCATGCACAGGCATGTGCACCCACGTACATAGCCACACACTCACATCCTCACTCAAACACACTTGCACCACCACACACTCTTACAGACTTGTACCAGCACACTCTCACACTTAGTGTCTACAGACATTTACAAATGCACATTTACAGGTTCACAGTCACATTCTCACACTTGGTCTCTTACAAGCACGCACACACTTATGCGCACGCTCTCACAAGCACACAGACCCATTTGTTGTGACTTTGCACTCTTGCTCGTGTCTTTGCCCTGCCTGGCATGCCTCCTCACAGTTGTTCCACCCCGATGTGTCTGTGTCTTAAAACGCAATAGAAAATCCTATCCATGGTTTTAAAGAATGTCTTCTCCAGAAGGAGTGGAATCCTTGGGGCCATCACTGAGTACTCTGTGAGGCCCTGTGAGACTGCCTGCCCTGTCCTGCTGTACCCACTGTGTGTGTGGCTGCTTCCCACATGAACCAAGGAGTTCCTTAAGGCTGGAAACCAGGTTCTTCTGTTTCCTTGCCCTTTGTAGGCTAGACTTTTTGTACTGTCTGGCCTGCAGTAGGCACTTTATTTTCATTTTTAAATTATTTTATAAAATTTCAAATACATATTGGGAGAGAGAATATATTAACCATATCTTTGTCCCCATCGTCCAATTATCCAGTTTCAGTAATTATCAGCCCACCGTGGTCAGTCTCATGTCATCTCTACTCCTGATTATCCCTCTAGCTTTCCTCTCCCGCAACACACTTGGTTATTTTTGAAGCAGATTTCATTGTATCATTTCATGCATAAAGATTTCAAGCATGGCACAGTGGTGCTCTTCTTTAGTTCCAGATACTTGGGAGGCCAAGGCAGGAGGTTTGCTTGAGCCCAGTAATTTGAGGCCTGCCTGGACAACATACCAAGATCCTGGCTTACAATACAAAACCAAACAAAAGATTTCAATATGTATCTCTGAGAAATGGAGCTGGTTTTAGACATAATGACAATACCATTCTATCCCACCCAACAAAATTATTGATTTCCTGGCCATGGCACATGCCTGTAATCCCAGTGGCTCAGGAAGCTGAGACAGGAAGATCGTGAGTCCAAAGCCATCCTCAGCAATAGCGAGGTGCTAAGCAACTCAGTGAGACCCTGTCTCTAAATAAAATTCAAAACATAGGGCTGGGGATGTGGCTCAGCAGTTGAGTGCACCTGAGTTCAATCCCCAGTATCCCCCCTCCCCCCCAAAAAATCAATTTTCTAATATTATCAAATAACCCATTAGCCCAATATCCATAGCCACATAAAACTTTGCTGATTTGAAAACTGAGCTTAAAAACTCACTAGAGTGTTAATGTTAGTAAACAGTATTAGATACACTCAACCTCGAGTTTGATAGGTTAGTGCAGAAGATCACGTTTTCTGTAGCCATACTTTTTTTAAAGCAGTTTGCCATTTCCTGGGCTTATCCTTTGGGAATACATGTCCTAGAAAATGTGTTCAGCATCCTTTTATTCCATAAACTAAAGCATTGTAGATTTGAAGTTCATCCAAAATATTATTTTTCATTCAGTAGTGTCACTGGGCTCCTTCCTACTGTGCATGAGACTGTGTACCAGGTACCCTGAAGAGTAAACCTCAAGACAGTCAGACCTCCTTCTCCATAGGAACTTGTGATAGAAGAGGAATTCAAAGAGATCTACCTCAAGGTGCAGAGTTATTGGCCAGTTGCTGTTGGCAGCTCAGCAGAGGAGGAGGCTATTTCTATTTGTTTTAATCAGAATGAGCTTTGATGTAAAAGGAAATCTGACTAGGTGATCTTGAAGCCCTATTGAGGTTTCATCAGACAGGACTGCCAAGACATCCCAGACAGAGTAGTTGCATCAAAGGTGTATAGATTCAAAAACATTCAGTGTTTTTTTTTTTTTTTTTTTTTAAGCCATCTCAATTATCATTTGTTAACAGTTTAGAGCCAGGTGTTTGGCAAGTGCAATGTACGTAATCTTGAATGTGTTTTGCCATGAAGTCCCCAAGGTGGGCATGAGATGTTCAGATTAGGTAACTTGCCCGTGATCACTCTGCTTGTAAGTGACTGAAGAAGAGTCAAAGTTACATCTGTTCGTCTTTGAAGCCTATCCTTTTTTTGTCTGCTCTGTGGCCTGTTACATGTAAACAGGTGTCCTAGAGCACAGGTGTGTATAAGTTGGTAGGAAAAAGGCTAAGAAAACTGGTTTTCAAAACTATCAGACCCCTCTGAGAGCCAGGCTATCGACTGTGAGCTTCGTCCAGTGAGCTGAGCCTTCCTTGGAGGCTAGTGGTGGCTGTCGTTATTGTTGTAGAGGAGGCTGGAGTCTCAGGACATGATTTTGAGTTATGGCAATAGGAGGTGAAAGATGGAGGAGAAAGCTTGGAGCGCCAGGCCTGTGGGACACAGTGCTTAAGCAGAGGAAAAAGGCAAGGGTCGCTGAGGCGCTCGGCCTTTGCACCTAAGAATGACAGCTGCATTAAAGGATGTTGGTCAGGTATGTCCAAGAATGTTAACTTTGGACATGCCAGGTGGGAAGAGCAGTGAACTGCTAGTCCTGCCCTGCAGGGTGGTGGCCGTTGAAACATGGTGGTGCAGAGTTGGAGAGCAGGCTGGAGCAAGGTGCCAGGAAAGCTGAGGGTGCTGTTGGGAGAAGGGAAGGAGCAGACCCAGGTGCGTCCCCAGATGCAGAGTGAGGACTGGCAGCACTAAGGTCAGGGAGGGACAAGGCAGTTGGCAGAGGTGATGGTAGGGTCTTCATAGTGACGGTATTTTAAGGACCTATTTTTATTGCCTTAGATGCAAAAAAGAATTACTGGGTAGAACCAAGTACATGTACTAATTTTGGATGATTTGTTAGGTATATATTAGCAAATAGGTTCCATTTTCTTTTTTTTAATATTTTTTAGTTGTCGATAGATTTTATTTCTTTATACGTGTGCTGAGAATCAAACCCAGTGCCTCACATATGCCAGGCAAGTGCCCTACCCTGAGCCCCAGCCCCAGCCCTAGGTGCCATTTTCTTTTTTTTAAACATTTATTTATTTATTTTTTTAGTTGTGGTTAGACACAATATGTTTATTTTTATTTATTTATATGTGGTGCTGAGTATCGAACCCAGGGCCGCACATATGCTAGGTGAGCACTCTACTGCTGAGCCACAACCCCAGCCCTCCATTTTCAATGGTAGTAAAAAATTTTTTGTTTGCATAATTTTTTGTCCACTGAGTATTTCTTCATTTTCTTAGTAAAATAGTATTTCTTCCAGTCACTCTTGGCTTCAAAAAGTATCAAATTTGTAATTTAAAATTATTTTTTTAAATGTGGTTAGATAACTATAATGTATATTTCAAAAAAGCTAAAAAAAAAGAATTTTGAATGGTTTCACCAAAAAGAAATAATAAATGTTTGAGGAGATAATTAAATTTACCATGATTTGAACATTACACAGTGTATTTGTGTATTGAAATATCACGTGGCACCCCATAAATGCATTCAGATTTTGTTTGTTAATTAAATAAGAATGTGGTTATCCAGATTCAGATAATTATTAACTAATTATGGCATTATTTACAAATGTAAGAAAACTATCTTCAGGAGAAAAAAGTAGAATTTTGTGGCAATAATATGTAGAAAACTGGGAATCTTGATATAGACTTCTGCAGCATAATTTAAGTCTATTAATATTTTTTATCTGGAAAAAAAACCAAACCATGAATCAGTTAGCTTTTGCTAAATGACAGATGTTTCCAAAACTTTGTGGTTCAGACCAACACCTGTGTGTTATTGCACAGGAACCTACTTGTCAGCCAGTGGTTCTTCTGGTCTGGAATGCTGGTGTCTCCAGTCACCTGATGTCCACCCAGGGGCTAAATAGTCTGAGAGGGCCTCATCCATGTATCTCACACAGTTCTCTTGGGCTGCAGGGCTGGCTTTGGGTTGGGCTACAGGAAGACTCATCATATAACATCTCAAATTAATTCACATGGTGGCTTGGGGTTCCAAAAGAATGAGCTACAGTGTGTAGAGCCCCTTAAGGACAGGCTCCAAATGCCCCTAGACTATTTCCACCTCGTTGTGTTGGCCAGAGAGGTCACAAGAGGCAGTACAGGTGCAGGATGGGGATGTGCGTTCTTCACTTGACAAAACTGCAGACTATTTTTGTCATCTGCCATAGAGTGAATAGAAATCACAGATGATGGTGATCTAGGGAAAGGCTGTTTTCAGTCTTTGATCACAAAAAAAAAAGTGCTATTTGGCTTGTTTGTAAATCACATCATTTTCTGGAGTAAAAAAGGTTTTAAAATTTAAAATTTTGTATAATGTTAACTCTGAAGTAATAAAAATCTTAATGTTTATCGATTTTCAGTCTAACAATTTATATTTGTAATATTTTACAAATACATTTATAACAATTTCCAAAGTGAAATTTCTACAGGAAATTCTAACTGTGGTCTTTTTCTTTTCTTTCTTGGTAACTTTATCAGGATGTGGGTGGAGGATGGCTGGAAGGAAGAAACAGCAAAGGAGAGCGAGGGCTCGTCCCCACAGACTACGTAGAAGTAAGAACTTCAAGCATCTTTTCATCATTTGTCAAAGCACAGCCAGAAGACAGTAATATTTGTCCAAAAAAATCATAAAAATGCAAAAGTAATAATTATAAAAGAAATAAATGCAAATTGTATATAATATGGAAAATACATTGAAGAGGAACTAAGAAAGTATATTACCTATAGATCCAAGCTACAAAGAGTAACTACAGACATTTAGATTAAGTTCCTTTTAGTATTTCTGAATTAAAATTCTTACTTTTCCTTTGCTAGTGTTGTGTAATAGCTGTTGCCTGGACATGTTTATTGTAGTCAATTCACAAAATTTAAACAGATTTTCTCAACGGACACGCCTCTCAGTTCCTTCTCCCGTTTTCTTAGGCAGAAGAGTGGCTTGAGTGCCCGGCTATGAGAATTGCCTTGTGCTCTGCTGTGATAGGTCCCAAGGACAGTGGCACAACACCCTGAAGGAGGTCCCTGCTTGGGACAGACCCATCAGAGACAAAACCCTCTTCTGAGTCAACTGCCTGGCACCCCCTGCTGGTAGTCTCTAGGTGTCTCAAAGAGTAATAGGTGCTTGGTGAGCTTGCCTCTCGCCTCTGGTGCTTATTAGTCAAGTTGAAGATAGATCAAGAAGTGCTTCAGCCAGCTCCAGTGGAGGGCAAGAATGCCCTGAAGGTGTTTCCCTGGGGCCCAGCTATGGAGTGGGAAGGAAGGCTGCCTGTCTGTCGTTGATTGAGAGGGAGGGCTGGGGAGTCTGAAACCTTCAGGAGAATCTGAGGAGATCTGTAGATCTTCCTTCAGATACGTACACCCACATACCCCAACCTTGTCCCCATGGTTCACAGGCCTCTGAGCTCAGTCCATGGGTATGAGATTTAATCCTGTGTTAGCTCTGTGTGCTATGCATCTGGAATCCTAAAAATGAACAAGATTAGGAAAAGTCTGAGGGTTTAAGTTGATATTGGCATTTTAATTTTCTAGAATTCCACTTACTTCTAGAAAGAAATAGTGTTTTTACACATTCTTGGGTTTGCTTGTTCTTTAAGAATATAGACCACCTAAGTCAAATATGAACAGATCCAACAGGCAAAAATTCAATAAGAACCTAGTTGAACTCAACAGCACTGTCAACTGGATATAATGGATATCTGTGGACTGCCTCATAGAACAACAACAGAATGAACTTTCACCTCAAATTCATGTGAAACATCCTCAAGACAGACCATGTTCTGAACTATAAAACATACCTCAGCATGTTTAAAAGGAGAGGCCTGGGTGTGTAGCTCAGGGGTAATAGAATGCTTGCCTAGTGTGCACAAAGGTTCTTAGTTTGATCCCCAACAAAAACAATCTTTTTAATTAAAAAAAAATTTTAAGTACATACTACTTAAAAAAAAAGAACACATAAAATATTTGCTCTGAGACCACAGTGGAGTCAAACTCAAAATCGGTACAGAAAAATAGTTGGAAAATCCGCAAATATTTGGAATTTTTAAATATAGTTCTAAATAGCATATGAATCAAAGAAGAAATAATATCAAGAGAAATAACAGTTCAAGTAAAAATGAAAATACAATTTATCAAAATTGTAGAATGCAGCAAAAGCAGTGCTAGAGGAGAATTTTTAGCCTCAAAGAACATGAAGCCCTTTTCCATAACAGAAGCTAATGCTTACTTGCCCTCAAAGGCTCCCACTGTGAAATGACCCTAATCTATGAAAATAATTATATTTTTTTTCTAACATTCAGATGTTACCTAATGATGGAAAAGATCAGTTTTCATGTGGAAATTCAGTGGCTGACCAAGCTTTCCTTGATTCCCTCTCAGCAAGTACAGCTCAAGTGAATTCGGCAGCCTCCAACAGCAGCAACCAGGTATGTTTCACATTGTCCTGCTGGTTACGGTGGCTTTCCTGAAAGCAACGTGCATTGATGACAGCTTGTGCTGGGTCATAGCTATTATCATTCCCTAATGCATATGCAAAGTAACTTTTAGGTTTGTTGTGTGGCATTTCTGCTGGGAATTAACAAAGAACTCGCCTGTTAAGCCTGCTAAAAACTGTTTTCAGAATCAATGATAAAAAAAGATAGATGTCAAAAGTTGCTTTTAAAAAGTCTGTGAACACAAAACCTGAAGTTGCAAATACTGTCTGGAATGAAGGCATGGAAAGAAGAGAAGGGTTCTGTTGTGGAGGTAGTCAGTGTCAGAGCTTGGGCAGGATCAGGGCCTGAGAACAGGGCTCCCTCTGTCAGAGTTGGAGGCCCCTCATGCTGCCCTAGAAGGTAAAAGTTCTGAGCAGATCCAGGCATTCAGCAGTTGTGCTGTTATCATGTTGCTTTAAGAAGACTTAGAAGAGTTAGAATAATTTGAGAGAAATAATAGCAGAACTTTACATTTGTTTTTATTAAAATTTGACCAGTTTAGGTGAATCTGCTTAGTACATTTATATACTTAATGCTTAATCAGAATGAGTGACATGGGTTTCAAAGAAGATGGGTATCAAAATGTTGTTGCCATGGGCACTAGGTTCAGTGCATTCCTGTAATCTCAATGGCTGGGGAGGCTGAGGCACGTGGATTACAAGTTCAAAGTCAGCCTCAGACTGAGTAAGGCCCCAAGCAACTCAGCAAAACCCTGTCTCTAAATAAAATATAAAAAAGAGCTGGGGATGTGGCTCGGTGGTTAAACACCTCTGGGTTCAATTCCAGTATCAAAAGGGGTGGGGGGGCTTTATGAGGTATTATTTCTTGGTAATTTTTTAACTACATAAAGTATTTTAAATTATGTTAAGCCTAATCCTTTTCAAGGATGTGATTTTGCTTACATGCTCTATCCTCTAAACCTTCTAAAAGCACTCTCAGAGTACTATTGCCATAGATTAACTGTAGATTCTGTACATTTAAAAATCGTTTTTATACATATCAAGAATTAAAAGTTGTCTGTCCCAGATCTTTAAAATGTACTATTGCCATAGATTAACTGTAGATTCTGTACATTTAAAAATAGTTTTTATACATATCAAGAATTAAAAGTTGTCTGTCCCAGATCTTTAAAATTCAGAGGCAAACCAGGTACCATGGTGCACACTGTAACCTTAGCAGCTCAGGAGGCTGAGGAAGAAGTATTGCAAGTTCAAAGCCAGCCCCAGCAACTTAGCAAGGCCATGAGCAACTCAGCGAGACCCTGTCTTTAAATAAAATGTAAAACAGGGTTGCAGATGTGGTTCAGTGGTTAAACGCCCTAGCGTCAATACCTTGTTCCAAAAAAAAAAAAAAAGAATCCAGAGACAACATGATCACAGCAGTTAAACATCTTTCTACCCTTTGTTACTATAATCCTTGAACATTGGTCACTTAAAAGTTACTCACTATGACATGTAAAGAAATAGTACTTTCACCTTACCTGGTTTTCCAGGGATTCTCAAGCTGAGCACTGTTGACATTAGAGGCCTGATGCCTCCCACAGCCACCCCCTGCCCCACCCCCGCCTTTGTGCTGCAGGATGCACACACACAGCTGTGGCAGCCACAGATGTTGCCAAGTGTCCCCTGGGAGCAGATGCAATCCATTTGAGATTCCCTGAATTATGTAAAGACATCCTCATGAAGTGGGCTTGTGTGAAAGTAAAGGGCAGCATTTTAATAAGAGGGGAACGCGATGGAGTGACCATAGAGTGAATGGAGGAAGCAGCCTCTTTAATTCTGGGAATGTACCTCAGCCGTCGTCTTAGGAGAGACTAGCCAATGACACAAACTCAAAGATTCAAATCTTGTTTTGTTAAAAAGTAATATAAATTAGCAGTATTCAAGTGTAGTGATAAATGATTAGTATAAATCTTAATTTTTTTCCAGGTTATTAAGAAAATAATAAATCCAATTTTTGAAAAACTGGATTTTATTAATCCAATCTAACACTAAATCCTTATTTAAAAAATTTTTTTAGTTATAGATGGACACAATATCTTTATTTTATTTATTTATTTTTATGTGGTGCTGAGAATCGAACCCAGTGTCTCATGCATTCAAGGCAAGTGGTCTACCACTGAGCTACAACCCCAGCCCTAAATCAAATCCTTTGAAAACAAAGAAAAGTTGAGCTACAAGTGAAAATAAAATCCAGAAAGTCTGACCATGATTAATTTATTTGAATTTAATGTAAGAACTAATATGTTAATAGCTATCTCCAATCTCGTTTATCTGGGATATGAGAATGATTTAAATAGGCTACAAATATGGTATGTTTTTAAAAATGCTCTGAAAGGTGTTTTGAGTGAGAAACCAGACAACCATTATTGGTTGGTAGCTTTAAATTTTTTTGCTCCCAGGTTTGCCCATTCTCTGGCCCTTGCTCTCTCCCAGGGCATGGCTTTGTTTTGAGACAATATAGGCAACTTTTTTTTTTTTAAATGACCTTTGACTGTGGAATACATTTCTAAACCTGATACATGTCTAGCAGACAGAGAGAATCAGTACATTTAAGTCGAAAAGTAATATTAAACTAGGAAAAGTACTTCTAATAGGTTATACAGATGTAGGATAGTTCCTATTAATATACAAACAACCCTTGTAAATCTATAAGAAAAAATAAACAACTCAGGAAAAAATGGGCAAAAGGTATAAAGAAATGGTTCATTGTTTAAAATATATATTTTATATATGTATACATATATAGAGATAAATTACATATAATATAATATATATCTAACTTGGGGAAACTGCCACTCCGAGCTTCTTCCATTAAATAGCAGAGGATGAGAACATTTCAGTAATACCTGGTGGGAAAAAGGTGTGGTCAGGGAGGCATTCTGTTACCAAGCTGGTGAAGGGTAAATTGGCGAAGCTTTTTGGGGTGGTTGGTGATGTGGTCTCTGCGGTGCATTAGCTCACCCAGCAGTGCAGAGTTCATCCTGCACGTCTGCTCTCAGATCACGGGCTCTGAACAAGAAGCTTATGCTGCAGCTTTGTTTCTAATAGCAAAATGAAGTAACGTGTCTGTCATCAGGGCTGGTCCAGTGAAGCACAGGATGCTATGTCATGGCTGCCATAGGAGGGATGTGGGGGTTGAGATGTGTAGATGGGGTGATGCAGAACTTCTTTTTGAAAGGCACTGCAGTGTGCGTGATGTTATATTTAACATGTGTTTAAGCACACATACACACACCCCTCCCTGCGTGAGCACAGCTCTGATTGTTGTCTTCCTGGAATACAGGTTTCGTGTGAGGTGGTTGAGGATGGCCAGCACATGGTCTTTGGAAGGGACGGGTCATTTCCATGGGTGATCCCAGTCTCCCTGTTCTTTGGTTTTACAGTTTCAGGAACATTTCATATTAGCACTGTACCACTAGGAAGAGTCAGCAGCAGGTGGTGGTGAGTCCTAGAAACTGTTAAAGTCACATTAATAGCTGTCCTTGTCTCTGTCACCCATTCACTGGTGGACAAGTTATGTCAGTTGCCTTGGTTCTAAAAAGGTTCTCACTGTAGATCTTTAAAAACTCAGATCTCTGCTTCTATTAGAATCCTTACTTTGGAGAAGTTATTGGAAAAATATTCTTGTACTTAATAACAATGGGATTAAACTTTAGTTAAAAGTTTGATAAACCTGTGTGTTTTATCTGAAAGATTTGGGCTTGAGAGATTTTTCTGTTTTCTTTAAATACTAGAAAGATATGCATAATTGGAAAAACTCTTCTTCTCATTTTGTTAAAATCTTAATGACATGGAATTCGTCAAATCTCTCTCTTCCTTGGCTTCACAGTTTCTCCTGGTCTCCCTTCACCCCCACCAAGGCCTGTGGTGCAGGGGAAGCTTTGGGGTCAGACCCAGGCTGATGTCTGGCTGAAGTCAGATGCCTGTTTCCTGGGGGTTGGCAGGGGGGCCGCAAGGTAAAGGGTGGCGGATACATGGGAGATATTTCAGAAGTACTGCTCTTCCTTCTCACCTCTTTCCTTTCCAGGGGCTCCTCTGTCCTTCTTTTTTGTTCCATCCTTTCTCCTCTTATACCCTCCCTAATCACAGAGATGATTCTTTAAAAATGTCTCCCACTCTTGAGTTTCCCATTTGCCCAATTTCTAGTTTTTCGCCCAACAATTCTTGTCTGCTAGTCTCTTCTGTATCTCAAACTCAGCTTCAAAATTGCTCATGATTTCCCCACAAAACTAGTTTCTCTTCCTGACCTTCCCTGAATGTTACTTTTTTTCTGTGCCCTCCTTTTATTCTATTTTAAAACTCCCAGGTGCTATCATAAGCCCTCATTATTGATAGGTATGTTCTCTGTTCTTTATGTATGTAAGGGGAGGGGAAGGACTGAGAACCTTTGCAGTGCTCTAATGGAGTCTCTCTCTGAAATATCCTCCAGAGGTAGCATGGCATGGCATCAGGCTCCAGACCAAATTGCCTAGGTTTTAATCCCAGATCTCATACTTTCTGTGTGACTTAGGGTAAGCTATTTAACCTCTCTGTGCCTCACTTCTACAACCTCATAGGATTATTGGAAAGAATAGTAAATGAAAAAACAGTCCTAAAGTATTTAGAACAATAGTTGGTACTTAATAGTGGTTTAGTAATTGTTCTCTTATATACCTCTAAAACAAGCCATTCAATATGTCAGTTCTTTGCTTAAGAAACTCTAGGGACTCTACATTGGCTCCTGAACCAGCTATCTGCTATAAGTCAGAGGGCTGTCCCAGGAGGCAGTTACTACTTTGAGTAAGGCAAAGTTCCGCAAGCAGACTCTGAACACCTGCACGTGGGAAAACTGTAGAAGAAATGCATCTGAACTTACAGTTACATTTCTGAGTTCTCTGCATGGCCCCATCCCTGCTCTTAGGGATGTGTCTGCTGCAGCCACACTGGCTGTGCACCCGGCCCTGGGGCTGT